CTTATTAAACATAAAAATGAGATGGACTGGGGCTTTGTTCTTTTTTTTCTTTTCTCCATTTAATTCTTGTACCTGTGGATGAATATTACTTATTTTCAGAATGAACAAAGTTCAACAGCAATTCCATTCCTTTTTTTAATATATAGATTTATTTATTTTTGGCTGCATTGGGTCTTCATTGCTGTGTGTGGCTTTCTCTAGTTGTGATGAATGGGGGCTACTCTTTGTTGTGGTGCACAGGCTTCTCATTGTGGTGGCTTCTCTTTTTGCGGAGCACGGGCTCTAGGAACGCAGGCTTCAGTAGCTGTGGCACGCGGGCTCAGCAGCTGTGGCGCACGGGCTTAGTTGCTCCACGGCATGTGGGATCTTCCAGGACAAAGGCTTGAACCTGTGTCCCCTGCATTGGCTAGCTGATTCTTAACCATGGCACCACCAGGGAAGTCCCTCAATTCCATTCTTATTTTTCATTTTTATAGATACAAGCATTGAGATAACTTGTTCACATAAATAAGTGGATGAAAATAGAAATCTTTCCAAAGCAATATCACTTAGCTGTTTTAACTCTTTCCAAGTTATACTCCAAAAATCACAAAATCTATCACGCAAAATTATATATGTATATATATATATATATATATATATATATATATTTTTTTTTTTTTCGGTACGCGGGCCTCTCACTGCTGTGGCCTCTCCCATTGCGGAGCACAGGCTCCGGACGCGCAGGCTCAGTGGCCATGGCTCACGGGCCCAGCCGCTCTGTGGCATGTGGGATCTTCCCGGACCGGGGCACGAACCTGTGTCCCCTGCATCAGCAGGCGGACCCTCAACCACTGCGCCACCAGGGAAGCCCACACAAAATTATTTTTAATGGTCTATCAGCTTTTACCCATAGTTTTCAAAACAAAGAATTGGAAATGACTTGCATAAGGGTTTATGATCCAGTCATTAGAGTCATCAGTATTTCCAAAAGTTCCTTTGTTTAGTAGCCTCAATGCACACGGGGGCAATGCATCCTAGGAGCTGGCTGAGAGGTTTGTCTTTTTTAAAACGGAGGAGGAAGATTGTAAAAGGGATGGTGCGTTCTCATGCTGATCTCTTTTAGAAGACAATATACCACCAATTTGATGACTATTGCTCTGAAAACTCTTGGAAGGCTAGTGTTGTGCCTTGCATGGAACAATCCCAGTGGCCAGAACTAAGAGCAAAAGTCTCAGATCTGGGGAAGGAGTGGGCAGGAGGGAGTCCATTAGATGGGGCAGAAGATTGTGGATTGTGGGAGGGTCCTTTATGGCCTAAGCCATTTTGTGATCTAAGCCTGGCCACAGTGCTTGTCCCTGAACAGGTCTCAGTAATTAGTGACCTTAAGGGAACAAAATTATGCAAGAACAAACTGTTATCAGGCCAGAGGAGTAACAACAGCAAAGAGAAGACTTCCAGTTCTGTTTTACAAAAAAAGGATTAGCCTGAAGCTAATTAGCCTGAAGCACTCAACCACCAGATCAGTTAGGTAAGGGATGCTGATATTGAGATTTTCTGACTTTTGTGATTTTAATCAACTAAAGTTTGGACTCTGTTGACCACCCAAGCCCTTTCATGAATATGCATGTGCCCTTAGCTTAAACGTTCCCATTTTTGCTGTCAGGGAGCAGCAAAACCTTTGCCTTTCTGCTTTGGGAAAGATCCCTGTTGTTTTCTTTACTTGTTGCAATAATGACTGAACAAAAGTTTGTGTGCCCCATGTACAGTGAGGCCAAATAAACCTAAACATCAAACATTGAAGCAGAGAAAGGTCTATTGCAAGACCAAGCAAGGAGAATGGGTGGCTCATGCTCAAAAACCCCGAACTCCCCAATGGTTTTGGGGGAAAGCTTTTTATAGGCAAAATTTGGGGTGAGGGCTGCAGGGTGTATGGCTTTCTTTTGATTGGTTGGTGGTGATGTAACAAGGCAGCGCTCCAGGAATCTTGTGCGCAGCCTGAGGTTGCTATTCTCTCCCTGGGTGGGGGGCCTTAGTTCCTGCAGAAGATCTCAAAAATATTGTTATGTATATTCCTTGAGGAGGAACCAGGACCCTGTCCCAAGGCTGCATTAGTATTTCTTGATTGTTCCTCTGTTGTTTCTGCATTCCCACTCTTCTCTGATTAGCAACTGTTTTAACCTGCCCTTTGGAACTTAGGGAAGGTCAAGGAGGCTGAATGAAGCCTATTTCCTACAAACAAGAAATGGGGGACACAGAAAGGCTTTGTACCCGGGAGTCCTACAGGGTCCTGCTAGGTTTCAATAATAAATTCTCCCTTCTCCTGATCTTTGGCTTGGTTGTGTCTTTTGGCTTGACACCCACCAAGGGATGAACCCAGTTTTTCTGGTAACAGTTCTCTTTCTTTGGGGACCCCCTGCCCTACCTGCTTATAATGGTCTTTGCTGGGCTAAGATGAACTTGAGAGATTCTAAATTCTGATCAAGTAACAGGGAAGAGCTAAACCAGACTCCATGTCTGATCTGTTTCATTGCCTTTAACCTTTGCTTTTCGCTGCTTTTGTTATTATAATCATATATAAATGGCCTGCCTCAGGTAACCATGCCCACCTGTGAGTGGCTGCAAGAAAAAAGAAACTAACACATCCCCTCATGGAGGTTGGTCATTCCAGGAGATGTTTTGCAACTGATGGCCCTTTTCCTCACTGCCCCTCCCTCTCTGATTCTATAAAAGAAACTGGCATCCAGGCCCAGATAGGACGGTTTTTCAGAGACACTAGTCTGACACCTTCTCCGTCTGCTGGCTTTCCAAATAAAGTGGTACTCCTTGCCTCAACACCTCGCCTCTGATGCATTGGCCTGTCGTGCGGCGAGCAGAGCAAGCTTGGACTCGGTAACAATCACATAAGCTGGAATCTGAGTGTCTTTATGAGGATAGATGGTGTGAAATGTCGGACATTTAGTCCATCAGGACACCACTCCTATTTGGGAGACAGTGGGGAGTAATCTGGGTGTAAAAAAAGATGGGGAAGGGCTTCCCTGGTGGCGCAGTGGTTGAGAGTCTGCCTGCTGATTCAGGGGACACGGGTTCGTGCCCCGGTCCGGGAAGATCCCACATGCCGCAGAGCGGCTAGGTCCGTGAGCCATGGCCGCTGAGCCTGCGCGTCCGGAGCCTGTGCTCCACAATGGGAGAGGCCACAACAGTGAGAGGCCCGCGTAATGCAAAAAAAAAAAAAAAAAGACGGGGAAGAGTGGCACTGGGGGAGTACAGATGGGTGGAGGAGAAGTTGAGGGGAGAAAAAGGCAGAGCTACACCAGGACAAATCTGCTTCTTGCCCACTTCTACTAAGGAAAACATAAATTCAAGACATCTCTCAGCCTAAATGGCAAACGGGATTTCAAATCTCAGAACTGTAACTTGGGACTTCCCTGGTGGCACAGTGGTTAAGAATGCGCCTGCCAATGCAGGGGAAACGGGTTCAATCCCTGGTGTAGGAAGATCCCACATGCCGCAGAGCAACTAAGCCCGTGTGCCACAACTACTGAGCCCACGCACTAGAGCCCACGAGCCACAACTACTGAAGCCCGTGCGCCTAGAGCCCGTGCTCCACAAGAAAAGTCGTCACCGCAATGAGAAGCCAGTGCACCTCAACGAAGAGTAGCCCCCACTTGCCGCAACTAGAGAAAGCCCGCACGCAGCAACAAAGACCCAACGCAGCCAAAAAAAAAAAAAAAAAACCCCACAGAAAACCAAAAAACAAAACTGTAACTTAATAACTGTGTGACTCTGAGCAAGGGAAACCTTGCTGAGTCTGCAGTCTGTAAAATGGAACTGAATACCTTCCTCACAGGAGGCTTCAAGTGTGCTGGTAACACTGTATATTCATCTGGATGGTGGTTATGTTGAAAAAAAAATCACAGAGTTGTACGTTTAGGATTTGTGCATTATTCTGTCTGTATTGTCGATTAAAAAAATATTCACAAGCTAAAAGTTGAGAGTTGTTTTATTTGGTGGCAATTTTTAGGACTTTAAGCCCAGAAGGCAGCATCTCAAGTAACACTGAGAGAACTGCTCCAAGGAAGCGAGGGGGGAGCTAGGATATATAGCAGCTTTGCAACAAAGGGCAGGTAGTTGGAACATCATAAGATTACTGTTAATTAAAGAAAACCAGAAATCCCAAGTTAAGGAATTTAGTGCTTTTCTATGCATGGGAAGATGCAAGAAAGGGTCTGGGATCATTGAAATCATGCCTTTGCTATGCACCTCAGCTATCTGGGGCCAGTATCCTGTGTTTTCGTATCTTGAAATCAGGGCTCACCTTAGGGAGTGGCTGCAGACTGATGGGTGCTAGATGGCAGGTATTCTTTGTTTCCTTCCTAAATTCCCTTAGGGCTCACCAGCTCACCTTTGGTGGCGGCTGCACAGCTTCAATCGCTGATTGCGACATCCTTTGTTTCCTGATATGGCAGGCAATATTCCATTTACCAGTATGCTATACTTCAATAAAAAGGCTTGCAGTAAATAAAATAAAAAAGAACATTCCCCTTCCAGGATTGTTGTGAAGACTCAATAAATTAATGTTTATAAAGCCTAAATATACATAAAACATAAATGCGCTGCCAGGGTCCACAGTCCGGATACAGAGAGCACTAACTTTTACCTCTTAAAGCCTGTAGTCCCAAGGTCTTCCCTGTTACTGTCAACCTCTGTGTTGCGGCTGTTCTCTGGACCTCAGTTTGCCTGACCAAATAATGGGACCAGCTTAGGTGTTTTCAGAAAACTTGGCCAACCCGGCTCTAAGGAAGAGAATAGATCAGAGTGGGGCCTGTAGTCCTTAGGGGTAGCCGACTGCAGAAGTCACCACGTGGCAGCCGGGCTCTCCTCCCTCTGGCCGCAGAACGAGCAGAAGTTGCCCAGAGCGGCCTCGCGGCGGCGCGCGGTGCAATATGGGCCAGGCAGAGGCGCCCCCTGGCCCCGCCTCCGGGGCAGCTTACTTGGCCGTCGGCGCAGGCTTCACTCACCCGGGAGTTCTCCAGACTCGCGCTGTGGAGTGTGCCCAAACTCAGCCAATCCACCCACCAGCATCCTGAGGAAGAGACAGTGCAGACCCCAGCTCAGGCGTCCACTCCCCAGCTTGTTTCTGGGGACAGGGGCGGGGCCCACCACTGCGCGTGATGTTGAATGCCCGGCCCCAGCCCCTCCTCTGGGAGGAGCTTCCTCATCACCGCCAGACTTAAGTCCCGGTGTCCAGTCTCAGGCCAGTTTCTTGCTGCCCACCAATCCCGGAAGCTGAGGCCCATTGGGTCGCTAGCAGGGCACAGGACTGAGCTGAAAAGCCATACTTCCCTGCTAACGTCCTGTGCTCGTGCCGAGGTGAGTTTCTCTTTTGCTGCCCCATCTTTGTCGTAGTGGAGATGGCCTCGAACCTTCACTACAGATGTGTCCGCCCCCGGGTTAGAGCGAAGAGCAAATGCTGAGGAGGCGGCCCGACTTGGTTTCTGATTTGAGCTTCCTCTTATTCGCTGAGTGATCTTGGATAAGTTCTCAGTTTCTCTGGACCTCGGTTTCCTCAGCGGTAAAATCTGTTCCTACATCAGAACTGTATGTAACAAGAGTTAAAGTGAGATAAAGCTCTTAAAGCTCCCGGCACATACTGTCAGTAAGTTTAGGTTGCCATCTTCCTTTTGTTTACCCACCAACACGATTTTTTCAGGAACTCCGGCTTTAATGTGGAATTGCAGAGACGCTTCTCATAAGTGGCAGGAGGGGTGTGGGTTCGCTTGCTTAGGCACCTGCCTTGGGTTTGGGAAAGCCAGGGCATGTTTTTCTGTTGACCCAGTGCTCTGTTAAAGTGAGACTGGAATCTGAACCTTCACCGGATGGGGTTAGTATAAATTAACTCTCCCTTCAGCCTGTCCATACTCTGGGCTGCAGGACCTCCCTTAGAAGAGTCTTGATGATTCTGATCAGTCCTGTTACTTTTCCCAAGGTCTCAGTTTTCTTATCTGTAATACAGGAGGAATCCGAGTAGCATCCTTTCTGGAGTCACTGGGATTTTTTTTTTTTTCTTTTTATCAAAGATGATGGTAAATACTTTGTTATTTTCCAGAGATGATTTTTTCCAGGTTATCCAAGAAGTAAAGGAAGAAGGTGATGGAGGCAGTGACTTTATCATATGCCCCTCCTGCTGACAGGATCTCTCCCATTTGCCACTGTGTGTGGGGTGGAGGAGGGAGCAAGCACTCTAGCAGCTACAGGTTTAGGTAGATGGTAGGCCCTGACCTCAAGGAGTACCAAGATTTGTGAGGGAAAATGAACAAACAAATGCAGTGATGTGCACAACTGTCAGGACATGGGAGGAACCAGAAATTTAAACTGCTAGCTGAAGGGTGACCTGCAGTTAGCCAGGCAAGGGTGGGACTTGGGGAAGGAAAGTGTGCAGAGGCCTGGAGTCAAATATGGTGGCTGGTCCTGCAAAGCCTGGAATATGGAGTCTGAAATGAAGAGGTGGAGAGATGGGGGAGGTGGGAGCCAGGTTATAAAGGGTATTACCAGGGAGTCTGGACCTTATCCCGAGGGTAGGAGAGATCTACTGGAAGAGATGCTGGGAATCACATGGTCAGATTTGGGGACTGCTTTGTGGGGAGAGGGGACACACCGGAAGCAGAGAGATCCCTGGTTTTGGGAGGGCTGGTCACAGCTAGAGCAGTGGCCCTGGAGAGTTGGACAGGGATAGGCTGGATAAAGATTTAGGAAGTATATATTCTTTTCACGTACATCAAGAAGTCCAGGAAGTGTTATTGCAATCTTAGGTTTTACATTACAGTTTAGAGCAAACAGTGTCTTTTGTAATATTTACAAGTATTTACAGGATTTTTTATGCAGCCAGATAGACCAAATCTTGGCCACTGCTACATATTTAAGGTGGCTTTCTGTCCTGGCTTCTTTGAAACCAGAAGAAGATAAACTCCCCCCTCCCATCACCTGTCGAAACCCTAATCTGATAATACTCAGAAATGCCTCAAACAATCTGAAATACATTAGAGGGCTTTTTTAAGACCCCCATGGATTATACTGTAGACAAGTTGTCTGGTTTGCTTTAACACTTGTCATCCAGGGCCTTGAGTCCCTGGTGAGATAGAGTATACAGAAAGAAGAACATGGTCAGGCACTGTGCAGAGTGCTTAAAATCTCTTTAGAATGGGGGAGCTGAGATTCAAGCCTAGGTCTGTGCCACCCCAGAGCTTGAAATCTGTGCTGTGTTGCTGGATTTGATAAGTATACTTTTGGACATGTTGAGTCTCACTTACCTGTAGGATATACAGGTGGAGATGTCCAGAGGGAGGTGAATATATAGAACTGGGGTGGGAAGAATTAGTGATTAAGGTGATCACTGAAGACTTGAGCTTGACTAGGGAGTGAGAAGGGATTGAGGACAGAACCCTGAGGGACATCAATATTTATGGGGAGCAGAGAAGAAAGGCCCATCCAGCCAGGGAACACTCACGTGAATACTGCTTCCTCTTCTTCCTGTGTTTTCAAGTTTCCTGTATCGAGGCAGCTCTAGAGCCTTCCTCTGAGAAAGGAAGACTGAGCCTCAGAGAGAAGGAACCTAGGCACTGACCTGGGAATAATAAAACCTGAATCCTGATACTACCCTCACCCCCCTCTCCCCACACACCCAGCTTTTCTCTCTTTTCCATCTAGAACTTCTCCCAAGGTAACATGAGGGTTTCTGAATTCTGCCAGAGGTCCAACTAGGCAGATGCTGACAAGCTCAGAGCCTATTAATGCAGGGTTGGCTGAAAGGCTGTGGCACCAGGCAGAATGAGGAAGTCAGGAGCTGCTAGGGGATGACTTTCAGTCCTAGAGGAAAACATCTGTCTTCTGCCTTCTGTTCTGTCCTTTGGAGCTCTTGTTCTTTGCAGATCTGTGTTTGCCGTTTCTACCTCTATGATTCCTGCCCCTCCAAGCCTTAGCCTCTTTTTTTTTTTTTCAGAAACTGTTTATTTTCCATCAACCTATTTCCATTTTAAGAGTTTGTGGAAGAACAGCTTAAGACCACTCAGTGGTTGTTCCTACCCACTCAGTGGCCTGAGCAGTGGGAGCTGCAGACCAGTCTTCAGTGGCAGGCTGAGCACTCCAGTCTTCAGGAGGGAACTGCTGAATAGGCACAGGGCACCTGCACACCTTGGGACCAGTCCGCCACCTCAAGCCTTAGCCTTTTTGGTTTTCAGTTTCACAAGCAAAAGAAAGGGAGAGGCAAGCATGAGGTTTCTTCCTTTTCCCCTGAGGCCAGGTTTTTGTTCATACTCTTAGCCTGGGTGTAATTTCAGAGCCATCCCTTGTGTTCTGGTAAATCTGGGAGAGGTCAACAGTTCATGGGTTGAAGATCAAGCCCAGGAAACCAGCCACAGACCCTAGTAGCAGCTAGCAGGCTAGTTCCTCCTGTGAAGTCCAGACATGTTTGCCTGATCCCTGGGCAGGTTGTTGTCCCTGGGAAGTTTGGTAATGAAGAGTATTGCCTTCAGTGGTCCGTAGTTTGCTGCCCAGGTTGAACGTTTTTGTTTCTGTTTTTGTTTTAGCAGAAAGGGTAGTCTCCATAAGGTTATGCTAGACTATAAAATTCTTCCTGAGTCAGAAGTATTAGGAAAGACAATTTTGGTGTGTTGGTTATAGTTAGAACTTGTCCAGTTACCTGCTCTACCATAATACTCTTTTTTTTTTTTATAAGTTTATTTACTTATTTATTTATTTTTGTCTGAGTTGGGTTTTTGTTGCTGCACACGGGCTTTTCTCTACCGTTGCGGTGAACGGGGGCTACTCTTCCTTGCAGTGCGCGGGCTTCTTATTGTGGTGGCTTCTCTTGTTGCGGAGCACAGGCTCTAGGCATGCGGGCTTCAGTAGTTGTGGCTTGCGGGCTCTAGAGTGCAGGCTTAGTAGTTGTGGTGCATGGGCTTAGTTGCTCCGTCGTATGTGGGATCTTTCTGGGCCAGGGATTGAAACCTTGTGCCCTGCATTGGCAGGAGGATTCTTAACCCCTGTGCCACCAGGGAGGTTCCCCATTTGGAGACTTCTGATTTTCATAGCTCTCCGAACAGGGTTGCTTCAATCACCCACCTGCTTTGTTCAGTTAGAAATTTTCATGTATCTGTAATTTCCTGCTTTCTGCCGCATTGAAGTCCTGTGTCTAGTTGGAAAGACTCTTACCCTTGACTCTTGGGACGGTCCCAACTCATTCTTAAAAGCCAGTGTCATTATTCCCTGGTTCTTGCCCTACAGAAGTCACTTGCTTTTCTGTAGCACAGTGTACATGCACATGTATTTTATAGGTCTGTGTTTACTTGCCTTTTCCCGCCTTTTCCATCAGCTCCTCCTTGAATAGTTGGCTCTGCCACTTAGCTGTTGATTTGGGGCAAATAATTTTACCTCTCTGAGCCTGTTTTTTTCATCTAAAAAATAGTATACTTCCCTTGTAAGACCGCACTCAGGCCTAGCAGCATGGCCAATCAGACCTCTGTAAGAGGGACTCAGAGTCTCTGTAGTTCTGACAGCCTCCTGGGAACATTCATTTCATCCTTTGAAAAGGGACCCTTTCCTGAGCCAGTTCTGTCACCTGGTCTCACTTTGTCTCATAAAGGCCTTTGCCTGTCTTACACTGGTTTGAGACCTCATGTAGTTAAGGCTGGGTACTTCTGGGAAGCCACCTCGCCTTTGTTTTTAGCTTTTAGAGCCCTTTAACCAGAGCTTTAGTCTGATGGAAGAAGGGCAGCCAGGCTGGTGGTCCCATTAGTGTTTGTCCAGGAGTTACTGGCTTTGCTTGGTTCCAGGCACCTTGTCTCAGCTCACAGGCATATACACATGACTCTGTTTTTTCTCCTATCACCCCTGTGCCCCCTTCCTGTTTTACAGGAGTCTTGATCAGTGGGCCCAAGCAACAGCACTGACCCCTCACCATTCTCTTCCCATCTGTGTTTCAGGGGGCAATGGCGGCTTCCTGTATCCTCCTGTACACTGGACAGAAGATGCCCCTGATTGGACTGGGCACCTGGAAGAGTGAGCCTGGCCAGGTGAGGGATGGGAGA